TACAGAACTGATAAATATTAGTGAGACAATAAATGTGTTTACTTTTATTATATTGCCGGGTGTGTACCTGCTAGATGAAATATCTTTGCCTAACATTTTGCCATATAGAGTAAACTATTTAAAAGATGTTGTAAATTGTTGAAGGTGGATGGATGTTTCTTATTTTCGCGCTTAAATAATCACGGATTATGTTATGAACAAGCTGAGCCGGATAACGTTTTGGTTCCTTTGGTTCCTTGAACAGTTTTCGCAGCGCACGTAATGAAAGCTATCAAAGACGAATTATTGCCTTCTTTCCACTAAAAAAAAAAAAAAAAAAAAAAAAAAAAAAAAAAAAAAAAAAAAAAAAAAAAAAAAAAAAAAAAAAAAAAAAATAAAAAAAAATTGTTTTTTCCCCCCCCCCCCCCCCCGGGGTCCCCCCCCCCCCCCGGGGGCGGGGGGGCCCCCTTTGTTTTTTTTTTAAATTTTCGTTTTTAAACTTTAAGTTTTTTCACTTTTAGTCGCCCTTATTGGTCGCATACTCGCAGCGTGATGTTATACATCCTAAAGCCTTCCTCGATAATGGTCTATCCACGAGCTGTTTTAATTTAGATAAGGATTTCAATTGAAGCCTTAGTTCATGAGATTAGCGTGTTTAAACAGACAAACTCTACTAATATTACAGTCCAGATTGTAATTGTACAGATCGGCAATAGATTTTTTTTGTTATATATTGTTTGTTCTACTACGTAATGCCAACGAGAACTAACTGATCTAATATTGGATGATAAATTTGACATTTTATACTCTTGAAGTATTGCGCTGTTTTCGATACAGTGTAATACAAATAATATAGAACTTTATTGATGTGAATGCTAGCAGGACGTTGTACTTAGTTAGCAAAAATATTATTACTAACAATTTTTTTATGAACTAGAAAGTCAATACCATTCCTGTTTGTTAAAGTTGCTAATCTATATTAGACGTATAGTTAGCTGTTAATAACACCATATTGTAAACGAAAGCGTTTACAACACAGATTTCTGTGTTCCGGTGGGAATCGATGCTACGACCAGAGGGTCGATTCCCACCGGGTCAAACGTGCTTGGAAATCAATGTTTGATCAACATGTAGGTATGATAGATCCCTTGTAATATCCTTAATCCCTCTAACCAAGGAGGTATATTAAAGTGTAGGAAGAATTCGAAGGGTTAGAAAGCCTTTACATACGAAGATCATGTGTATATGTAAATGTGGATATACTACTTTTTTATATGTATAAAAGCAAATATATAATCTTAAAAACATTTTTTTTTATCAGTTACTCATATCGCATATAACTCTAACTTAAAACTAACAGTTACAAATACAAAAATAATGTCTAGTAAATAAGTTGGAGGGGACTTAGATTATCTGGTCTTATTTGCATTTTAATTCTTTGCTGAGGTCTATTTCTTCACATACATAAAAATAATAATTTTGTAAGATATGCATTACCTTTCCTATTTTTAATAATATATCTTTATTTTACTGTAATCACTACTAAGAGCTGGTACTTAAGATATTTAGTTAGGACCAAATGGTTATTGTACTTCCCTGTGTAGATTAACTGTGCATTCTCTTCCTCACTTAAATAAAACACTTAAATGGTTTAAAACGCGATATATATTAATTAAACTTATTTGAAAATTATTTTTGGTCACGGGCCGTGGTTGCGGGGAGATATGGATGCTGCGGTGTTTTATTTAAATGTGTACTACTCGCGTAAACTACAGACAGTATCCCCTTCATTGTTAAAAGTTAACTTACTTAAGTATACACAATTATTTTGATACGAAAATATTTGCAAACATAAGTGGAAAAGTTCCATCTAATTATAACTGCACAAACTGTGGATTTAATTAACAATCCCGAAAGTATTCCATAAGTTTAATAGCAAGTAATATTTCGAAATGGCCGCATTGTACTTGAAGGCTGAAACACTCGTCGCGTAAGCGTAACGAAACCTACAGCTCTCCAAATACTGAAAACTAAGGCTTTGACTACACTTGCGACTAATATGCTATACTCATAAACTTTCGGCTTATATCTACCGAATATAAGGCAAGTTTGGCAAAAATTACTACTACTAGTTGAGGCTGCTAGAGGCAGAGTAGCCTAACTGCAATTTTGTTTATGAGCTATTTATATTTTCTACAAAAATGTTAATCTACAACACCACAGTGACAGAAAATTGTAAACATAATTTTTACACAACTCATCGTAGAATTTATTTTATGTTATTAGGCCAATCTGCTTCTAGCAGCCTCTTGCTTGATGTTTGACAGAAACATGTAAATTTTGTCGTTAAAGCAAATACTTTACGTTGCTATCTATATTTATGAATATAACATTGAAATGTATATTATTCATTTTGTACTGCCAAGTTATATTCAAAAATATTATATAATTTTATTCATATTTACTTACGGTAAATATGCATCACAACATTGTCATTACAAAGTTCAAAATTAATGAAAGATAGATATTACAGAATAGACGAAAAGGGCTGATATATTAAAAGTTTAATAAGTTGCGAATACGCAGCCATCTATTGTTAACCTGATTTGCGCTAGTCTGGTCGCAGCTTAACGGGGAGCCAGGGAAATTTGAGTGCTGCGAAAGTCTCGAATTCAACTCGAAATTTTCGTTGAAATTTTACTTTTACAAAGCTCGAGTCTCCTACAAATGTTGGTTTTACATGATGTAATTAGATTTTATTGAATATGTCGCTTTTATTGTGATAATGTGAATAATTATATTTGATATAAGCTGTGGACGCGACTTCGTCCGCAAAGAATAGTCGTTTTGGTTTTGCAACTTACTCTCCATTTTTATAAAAATTTCTTTTACCTACGACGTTTCCGCGTACCGCAAGTCAATTTTAAAACATAGGCATATACACTCTTATTACAAAATGAAGACTAACTCTCAAACCTGGTTTAAACTCTGGTTTATTTGAAATCTGGACTAACTCTGGTTCTAACTTAGATTCATTTAGACCATGCTTTAAGAGTTAAACCAAGACTCTGGGATTCTGGTTTAAGTATTTTTTTTGTAATAAGGCCGACAGTGTCGCGAATATTTTTTTAGATAATTTAAAGAAGAATCATTATTGAATACATATTTGTTGGTTATATTAAACCGTTTTCGCAGCATACGCAACGGAATTTTTTTCAATTCGAACTAGCAGTTACTGAGATTAGCGCGTTCAAACAAAAAAAAATACTTTCTTCAACTATTATATGCAGTGATTCTACACTAATCAAACTCTTCAATTGACTATACTTTAACAGATTTCGAGTTTAGAACAAAAAAAATAGATCGAATTAATTTACCAAATGCAGTTGACTACACTTGTCAGAGAATTCAAATTACAAAAAGTTTCTTGAATTTTTATCTTAAACTTTCTAGTGTTTTTACCATTTATTTAGATTTTGACCATTATTTGTTAACTAATCGAGTTATTATTTACGTATTACGTAGACGAACATACAGTTTTCCTTTCCTAAAAATTGTAAAAGTTCCAAACATAGAAAAAACTGCACTAAAATCTTATTTGCTTTTTAATAAACGCGCAAATAAAATGTAATGACGTCATAAAAGTTTTCCTGAAGGTAAATAAATTCTTGAATTTCTCGACTGTCTTATTTTTTGTTGGCGAAGCTGCCAACACGAAGCTGAAAGTTAAAACTTAATAATGTTGACACTTAGTTTAATTTGTAACTCTATTAGACGTTTTTAAAGTTGGCTGTTAATTACATAATATGATTAGTTCTTAGTAACATGAAAGTGGCAATATACTATAAAAAGTATAACTATCTTTTCTATTCTTCAGAAAATTTTAAATAAACAGTTTAAAACACGACATGTGTTAAGGTAACTTATTTTTAAAATTTATTTAAGTACGGCTTATCGTTCGGATACTTGCCAGAAACCATAGCCACACGGGGGCTAAATTATAGACAATTCTTAGAATTTTCTGTAGCAAACCAGTCCATTATGTTTTTTACTGTAATAATATTTAAATCATTTTTATACAAAAGAAATGAGGCAGAAAACGTATTGCTTTAATTTAAATAATAATTTATTTAAAACACTCATATGTTAAACTCATTGTAATAGTGTAAGTTATAACTTGACTTTTATAAAGCTCTTGGAAAATGGATTAGAACGCCATTATATATTTATTGGAAATCTGTTTCAGCCACGACCCGACGTTTTAGCCCGTCGCGTCGGGCGTTTTTATTCTTAAAACGAAAATGTTTCGACACAGATGCGTATATCGCAGTTTGATTCAAAAAGCTTATTTCTTATTGAAAGTGTAATTAGTTAGAAACATTTTTGTGTTATTAAAGAAATCGTGAACTTGTTTCATTTGCCAAATCCAATTTAATTCAGTAAAAATTGTAACCCCCAACAGAGCAGTCTCTCAATATTTCATTAAAACTTATAATTATGTTTTCGTGATTGTTATCGTTCTCATTACAACTTCCCTGGGGACGGGATAACGATTAGCCACTAAATAGATTGTCTAAAACACAAATAGCACAAAATGGGCCGTTATTTCTTAAAACTATAGACTACTAATTAAAGTTTGATGTTGAAAAATAATGAAAAACTTTAAACATCACTGTATTTAAGTCTTGGGGTTTTTTTTTTAATTTAAGTATTGCAACCTTTAACTATATAAATAAATATCGTATGTTAGAATGTGATGTGTTTATTATAGAAGAATTTGTATGGTAAGCTATAAATACATCGATTATGATTATGATCGATTCTGCCCTGCATCTAAAACGTTAGGCCGTAGTAAATAAAAAAAATAAATGACTCCAATAATAAATTTCCCATTTTAAACCGTTAATAGTATTTCACACTTATAATGTAATTTAAGACTCAAACCATGAACTAAAAAGAAATGATTTACAAATATATATATTTTTAAACATTGAAGTTATTAAAACGCCATCTATCCACAGGCGCGCTCAAAACTGCCGAAGAAAAGGCGTCGAGTTTTACCCGTAGAACAACCCCGAAGGAAACGCGACGCAACTGCCTCAAATCGACGAGTAAATGCTGTGAAACATCCGGTGGTTCTAAAAGACCTTCAGGGCGCCAACAAGTTCGGTGAGCCTAGTGTTTTTTAGGATCGACAGATGGCGTTGGCTTATATTTCTGAATATTTTTCTAAGCACCTCGTTAGGTGTATTTTTGTTATAGCTACTTAAATCGTCGATAACGCCTTCGCCCTCTACAAATAACTTAGTGAGCTAGGCTCTACTTATAATATTTTATAGCCTATTTAAACGAAAACAAAAAGTGTGTCACTCAAATGTTTTAGTGTACTAAATATTACAATTTATAATATAATAGTAAATGGCTGTTATTATAACATATGATTTACTTAGATTTCTCACAAATTCAATATGAATCGCGCCTACAATACGTCATTTTCAATCGAAGTTTCACACGACAAGCATACATTTTCTTATAGAACTTTGATTTTATTGGATTTATTTTATAAGATAACTTTTGTGACTTATGCAGGTGTGAATGGAATGAACATGATCAGTTTGGCTCTTCAAGGACCATCAAATGTGCTTCGCCCGCCTCATACAGCGCAACCGTTACAGGCTAGAGCTCCTATAGGTAAAAATATACCAAGCCTAAGATCTTCCATAATAAATAATAAACCCTACCTCACCCGTTAAAGACTTCATGCATTCGGAACCTTTTTCTTAAACTATATAAAGTTCATTATATTTTCTTATATTCTGACTAAACACTTAAACATATGAATGACATAAATTAATGCTGAGTATAGAAGCAAGTAGGCGTGTTACGTTTTAACTAATTTGTAATTACTAATTAAAACGTAATGCTACGCTAGTTAAACGCTAGTGCGCATGTGTTTAAAAAAATGCGAATTTAATATCAGTATTTAATAACTAGACATTATCTTTTACAAAGTGCTTACGCAATTTATTTAAATTACGTTTAATGTTCGCCATCTGCACATACAAACCTTAAATAATCCTACTTTATCAATTTTTTTATATGAAAGTAGAATCTTCTAGAAATTCTTCAGAATATCTAACCCTCCTAAGCCCTAGCTTTCTTGTTTCCAGTCGAGAGCCCGATAGTGAACACGCAATGCGCTGCGATATCTTTAGCGTCATTACAACCTCCGCTAATGACCGCCCCCCCTCTACAACCAAGACCTGCTACCACCGGCTCCCTAGACCTCATGCTACCTCTACAACCAAAATTACTACCTGGCTACAACCTCCAATCGTCATTTTTATCCAGCACTCTGTCAACAGTGAGACCGCCGGATCTAGACAAACTAATCAAAAGGGAAGACTATAAACCCACAGTGGATATAATCATTGAGAAAACAGAAGATTTAGATGTAGATAATAAAATGTGTTGTGATTTAGATAGGGTAGACAATGATAATGCAGATAGCACTTGTTATGAAATAAATTCAAATGTCCTAGAGAGTAGAGATACGGTAAGTGATCCTAACGATAGCCCTAATAATAATTCCAGTTCATGTGAAAACGGGAATGCTCACTCTGCATAATGTGACAGGTCAAAAATGGACGTCAAAAATACATTAACAATTGTTTTAAAGAAATAAAACAGTGAATAGATTTTTTGATACAACAGTGTAGTTATAACATCAATTATTTTTTGTAGCAACATTTTTTTTAACGTTTATCCTTATCTAAGATCAGGTGATGGCCTGAAAAGAGCATTTGTTTAAAAGGAAAGTAGCTCGTTTAAAAAGTATAGAGTTTGAAAACTTTATTATTTTTTACATGTACATGTATTGCACATGAAGGCACTGTATAATTTAAAAATCGAAAATAAATTGAAAAAAATTTCAACTCGGGCAGGACTTGAACCGGCATCGGCAGCAACGCAACGACGGAACGCTAACGATGCCGGTTCAGGTCGGGGCGAGTCGAAAAGTTTTTCAATTTATTTTCTATTTTTAAACAGTATAGAGTTGTTTTAAAAACGTGTTTATAAAATTATTTAATAATAATATACATAATCGGAATTAGTTTATTGAAAATCAGTGCATATTTTACATTATCTAAAGTGCTTATTAAATTTGGTAACCAGACATTATATTTACATTTTGATAATTTCAGATTCATGCAGTACGTTGTGGTTTTAAATGAGATTACTTATTTTCTATAACGAGTTAATTGTTTATCCGCGAATTTGATTACATAAAATATTGAGAACGATTAGCTTTTGATACCTATTTTCGGTCTCTATTTTAAGATTATTAAGTACTAAAAAAACGAATAATATGCCGTAGCTAAATAGAGTTTTGAATTAGAATTAACCTCAGTGTTGACCAAAGTAGATTAGATATTATGTAATTCAGATCAAAGTAATTGTAATTTTTTTGTATATGAAAGACGTGACAGTGATGTATATAATTAACATTTTAAATAGATAGTTCTAATCCAATTCTTGTTAACAAATTGACAAACATTGATATCTATACTTATATTTAAAGGTGAATAGTTTGTTTGTTTGAACTACTAGTCTCAGGAACTAATGGTTCAAATTACTTTTTGTCGGTTAGAAAATTTATTGAGAAAAGTTATAGCTAATAAATCATTGCGCTGTGACTAATAGGAGCGAAGAAACGGCAGGAAGTGTGGAAAATACGGGTAAAATAATTCAATTTTGTGGGTTTCCGATGCGTATGCTCCGAAAACTGTTTAAGATAGCCAAAATATATATATATGTATGAAAAATTTATTCCTCTTTAAATTATCTAAAAAAAGTCTACGAAACTAAATATTTTTTAAGATTAACTTGCAAGAACGACGGGACGCGACCGACGTCCTGTGTTTCAACTTAAAATTATAGAGATGGTTTGTAAAAATAATTTTGGATGCCAAAAAAAAAATAAATTCTACGCGGTCGAAGTCGCTGGCACAGTTAGTTAGTTACCTTTTACACAGTAGCACACATATCAGAATCGAAAACCATAACAAAAAATTGTAATTCTCTGTAATATTAATAATACATTTGAGTTATTAAAGACAGGTCTTGCCGAAAACATTACATTCATAAATCACTGATAATATCAATCAGAGTTAATGACACGTAACGTCATTTATGCAAATCTTTACGCCCCTAATGTATAAAATATATTCCTGTAATTTGAAGATTATGCCTATCTTTTATAGTTATAAATGTATAGATTAAAAAAAAACCCAAAAAAAACACAAACCCTTAAAAAGGAAAAAGACAAAACCCGAAAAATCGGAAAAACAACCCGAACTTAAGGTCTATAAAAAACAAATATAAATTTCACAAATCAGCACTCAAATCGATTGTATTTATTTAATAATCAAACAATATTCTTAGAAGATAAAATAAGTACTACAAGTTAAAAGTAGGTACTTATACGTTTAAAAAGAGACCAAGAATGTTTATGTGTTATAAAGCACAATCTTGGTAAAAGGGTTCCCAAGCGAACCCTAAGGGACAGCCCCCGAAACGCGCTATAAATAAGTGAAGAAATGTGCCAAAGATACTATAAAACACTGTAGTGTACGACCCGCAAAATAAAAATGTATTTTTTTTCAGTTCTATGGTAAAAGTAGCCTTGGTGTGCTAATATGAATCTAAATACATACTTCAAAACTTAAAAATGTATGAATTAGGCTTAGTCTGTAATTGTATATTGTAAAAATATAAATATAACTTAACAGTAAAATTTTTTGGCTGTAATCTGGTTAATGTTAAATTTAGTTGTAGAATATTTTTCTAATGTTAATTCTTAATGTAAAATCAATGTACACCTAGTGGACATAAGAATGGACGATGTTATTTGATTCAACTACTTCGAAATATTTTTATAGTAAATAACAAAAAAAATAAATAACTTAATGTAATTATAAATGTCCAACAAATTTATTTATAACTTCCCAATGAGTACTTATCTGTCCGACAATTATAAAACAAATGAATAGCGCAAAAGTTATCAGTCTGTATAAATAGTTGACATTTCATGTTTTATTGTTTCAATAAATTGTATAAATATTACGTTGTAATTATTTGTTCCCCTTTCACGAAAGAACTTTGCACAATATAATAATTATTTTATACAGTATATATATAATCATTTTGTTTAAATAAAACACTTTAACGGATTATAACGCGATATCTATTAGTTAACCTGGAACAACGGCTGCTGCAAGACATCCGAAACGCCGGCCGTAGTTGAAATAATTCACATAAGCTTAACTAATATATATCGCGTTTTAAACCGTTATAGTATTTTATTAAAAAGTGTACCGCTCGCGTAAAAAACAGACAGTACTTAGATAGTTTTGTACCAAGTGATGATAACTATAATTATAGAAGGACAGACAATCATTCTTTTGCTCTAAGCAAGATGCGATGTCAATATATTTTTGGATATCCGGAAATTCACAGACACAACGAAACGCGATTAAACTTGCCCGGTGTCCTTTTCCGCCTTTTTTTTACTGTAACAATGGTTGTGAAGGATGGTGTTTCAATATTCCTATCACTATATAATGTTCAGTTCCATCAGAAGGTCATAAATGTTTTAGAAAAGATATATAGAATGGAGTGGGGGAGAGTGTTAAAAAACGGACACAGAAGTGTGTTCGCTCCATGTCCCACGAGGGGGAAACGGAATTCCACACACATTGTTACTATTAGACCAACGTCAGAACATGTAAAAGGCAAATTAAAACGGACGTAAATTAATAATCTAGTTCCATAGACATAGACTTTATTGGCTGGGACTATGTGAGCACAAACGAGCGACGTAATTAAATTTCGGTTCGTAACCCGTTGTGATCAAATTTCGCAAATATTGGCTCGAGCCACAGTGTTTCTTTATATTTCACTCTCTATTGTTGATCTAAATATACATCAATGCATTTAACGATTTATGACACGTATTGCCCACAGCTGGGACGGGACATGCAAGAAAGAAAAGTAACTGAATATCTCGTATATAATACGGAAAATTGTGTAAACTTTTTTTTAAATGGTTGTTTTATTTTCCGGTCTTTAAATTAGTAGAAGAAAGTATGTTGCAAGGATTATTTATTTAGAGAAAGCCGGCAACCATTTGGTTCACATATTATAAAAGCTAGACAAGATGCGCTATCGAGGTATTTTTGGCTTTGATTATTCAGGAATCCACAGATTGAAATGCGATTACACTCGACAGCTTTTTCATCTGTGGAGGGTGGCTTAGAAAAATATTGAAGCCGGTGGGAATCGAATCCACGACCGATTATTATAGGCCATACAATACATCTTGAGAATAAACATGTATGTGCATTTTATATATTTAATTTAAACGTGTTTGCGAAAAAAACATCGTCAAGTACATTCCGATATTTGCAGATGAGATTTTAAAAAACGCCGAGTTAATTAATCTATCGTCGCTACGAGGGTGTAACACAATAGGAGCGAGTAGCGACGCGATTAGAGGAGCGATAGCGACGATTAGAGGAGCGGAATGGAATAATATGTAAGTACGTAGCTATTTTGTTTTTGGAATCAGACATATAAACGTATAGAGAGGGATAGACAAGCACCTGGTTCATTGGATACCCCAGCTAAAACATCTAGACCTATTTTGTCTTAGGGTATTCAGAAATACCTACACAAACTAAAACCGATATGCGACCGTTGATTAATAGACATATATACAATTACCAACGAACCCGTTGAACTATTGCGTTGAAAATTTCCAATACGAGATTTTATATATTAACTTTTCTCATTTTGGGTTGCCCGGAAGAGATCGCTTGTTAGCGATAAGGCCATCCGTTGCGCCCCATATTAGCCTCGATTGTACTTTTTTCTTGTTTATTGTGTAAACTGTTACTAAATACATAATTTTACCAATTCAATCGCGTTGGATATTCAATGCTTTTATTTTTATAAAATAATACAAAGAATTTGGTTATGGATTATACAAACATATTAAGTGTATAATTGAATATTTTTGTATTATCCATAAAGTTTATTTACTAACTACGCTAAGCTAACATGTCCTAAGTCTTAATCTTTTTTATTTATTTTTCTGTCTCCACGGCGGTTTACCGAGGTCTAGTTAAGCTGAAATTAAAAATCTGCAATTAGATTTCTTCCTATCTACCGAATCGTTTTTCCAGGTAACTCCAGGGCTATGACTAAAAACGTTAATTTATAAGAATGAAGAATGTTTAGTAGTAATTCACTTGAAAACTTTAATACTTTTTTTCATGTTTTTAATTGCACATGATGGCATTATATAGTTTAAAAACTATATATATTTTTTGGGGGAAAAAGGGGGGGGGGCTCCACGGGGGGGGAAAAAGTAGTTTTCCGGGGACCCCGTCTGCTTAAAAGCATCCGAAACGTCGGTCCGTACTTAATATAAATTGTAAATGTAAAATATTTCGCATTTGAAACGTTAAAAGTGTTTTATTTGAATATGTAAACTACAGACAATACTTAATAAAAGTTTTGAATAATATAAATAAAATACATTAGGGAAGCAATATTTTAAATACT